GGTTGATTTGCATATTAGGCTTTTATTATATAGGATTTGTGTGAGCTCTTATATGTTAAAGATACTAAGTATTTATCGGATATTTGCTGCAAATACATTTTTCCCAGTCTGTCTTTTAAAATCTAGGCTCATTAGTGATTTCCCCTGTAGCCACATGGATTCCTTCCATAGATAAATTCTATGTTATTTTTATTGCTATAATTTCTTTTTTTTAAGAGTCTCTTATTCTCGTTGAGTTATGTTTTCTTCTAGTTTGCAGCCATGGGACCATAATGGCTTCACCTCTAACTTTATTTTTTAAAATATGTTTTCATTTATTTGAGAGAGAGGAAGAGAGAAAGATTGAGCCCACAATCGGGGCATGTGCCCTGACAGGGAACCTAACCAGCAACCTACTGGTATACAGGACAGACATCCAGGCCTGGGCCTCAGGCTTTTTACTCTTTGTTGTTAATGCTTATAGGAGTCAAAGGTCCTTCACAGGTGGTTTCTTACGCTAATGAGCTCACAGTTTCTGAAAGAGGCTGAAGATTCTCATTCAGGGTTTTCACAGGACAGTGGCACCTTGCAGAACCCCTACTCCTAGAAGACTCGCCTTTCAACAGCAGTAACAGAACAGCTGACACTGAATGGCCACTTAAAACAGGCCCCAGCACTCTTCTAAGTGCTTCACCTGGTGACCTGGTTTGATCAACAAGCCCAGGAGGCCAGCACTATTATTCCCAGCTTTCAGATGAGAAAACAAAGGCGCAGAGTGGTTAAGTGATTTGCCCAAGTGCAGGGCAGAGCTGGGAGGCACACGGAGTGGGGGCTGCTGGGGAACAGATGTGCACACAGATGACGCAGGGATTCCCATCATGAGAGACAACTGAGGCAGGACAGGACAGTGCCGGGAAGAGAGGGAAGGCAGCGGTATTGCCCCGGAGATCCCGGGAGCACATGCTGGGACCCGGCTGGACTCCTGACCCTCAGGGGGTTCATATTGCAGAGCCATTTTGCCCGGGAATCCGGAATCCGAGTTCTCCCAGGGACCCCAGGACACGGAGCAGGCAATTTCCACACCTGCCTACATTGCTAGTTCAACACTGGGGTTCGTAAGCCCAGGGAGGGCAGGGGGCCGATAATCACAGTGGCAACAGGGAGGCTTAGCACCTGTCAAGCACCGGGCTGAGAGCCTTATGTGCACAATCTTATGCACACCCAGTAACATTCCACTGAGGCTGGTACTATTATCATACCCATTTTATAGATGAAGAAACCGAGGCTCAGAGAGGTTACCCAGGTCTAACTGGCGGAGTCTGTGTGACTCCAAAGTCTGTATATCGTCACCACGTCCCTCTGCTACCCCCAACCCTTGGGTGGGTGGTGTTGCTAAGTCCAGCTTTTCTCTCCCTCTTGCTCTGGGACACCCGAAGATCAGCAGGGCTGAGCAGAGGAGAGACGGGGCTCCGAGGGACCCAACAGGGGTCCTGGCCATTATATCTCTAGAGCCCAGCGATAAAGAATCAATAAGGAAAAAGACTTGCAGTTTCCAGGCTGTTCTATTGTATCTTCTTCCCACTAATGGAAACTGGTTTGCCATGGGCGATCAGAGCCTGTGGGCCAGGGGAAAGGGACCAAGAGGTCGGCCATTCTCCCCTCTCTGGCCTTGCCCTTGGCGCTGGTTGACCTCTGTGTGTGGAGTGATTGGGGGCGGGGCCTTGGCCTGGCGCCTTCCCATGCCCCGCCCCCCACCCAGGGTTCCCCCAGTTCCCCATTCGCC